GCATCTTCAAGTTCCACTCTGGCTACTGGGGACTCCACCAGAACCTCGAGCGAGGTTTCACAGAACCAACTCTGTTTGCTGTGAAAATCTCTGCAGTGCTCTGCTGTAGTGTGAGCAGGGCACCGTTTCCAGTGGCCATGGGTCACAGTGGCTGATAAACAAAGAAAAAAGCAATGGTTGCCTTCCACCCAAAAGGAGGAAAGTACACACCCCCACCCCACCATACAGTGCACAAAATGCTGGCAGGCACAGGAACAGACCCCAGAACAGTGGGGCACTACTCATTCTGCCCAAAACTTACAAGTAGTCACTTTGGAAATAGGTCCATGGCTGCCACTACCCATGCTGGCTGCAAAAAATTAATTAAAGCAAATAATTAGTTTGGCATGTGTGTTACATTACAAGCTATTGAACCCATCATGCACCGAAAGAACATGGTGACCCACCTACAGCAACACATGAATTTCTCCCCCTCCCCCTCCCCCTCCCCCAAACCCAACCAGCATGAACCTGGGCATTCCCTGGCAGTGGCAAGAGGCACATTACAAGAGACTTACCAGGTCCAGCATGTTCTTGGGTCTCGGTAGCAGTTGATGATGCATCATCCACATGGGTTTTTTCCTGACCCTCCACCTCCTCCACTTCATTATCTGTGCTAGTCTGTGGAACGGAGGGGCTAAGTGGCACTAAGTGTATGGTGACTGATGGTTCTTCCTGCCATTCATGGTAATCAGGGAGCAGTCTCCATACAGCTGAGACATGCTCATGGTTTCACCTTCAGGAGGGGCTTCTGCTGCCTCCTCCTCCTCCTCCTCCAGCTCAACCCCAGTGCTGAAAGTCTCCATACCCAGGCTGTCATCCACATCCACATCCTTGGAAAGAATGATGGCCCTAGAAAGGGGCAACTGTGTGACCTGCCCCAGAATGAGAGTTCGCATCTTTGGCTCTGTAAAATGCTGATCTCAGGGACTCAATCTTGCACTAGACCTGGGTCCAATCATGATTATGCCCTTGCACCTGCATGCCTTTTGCAATCATAAACTGGCTTATTTGTTCTACTTTCTAGCCTGTCTATGATCCTTTGCTCTGACCAAATGTTGATTAAGTCCTCCAGTTCTTCCCAGGTCCAATTGGGTCCACGGACATTGGAGGTATCAGCCTCCTGGGCCATCGGCTCCATACTGCTGGTCTTGGCTTTCTGAGACACAGCGAAGCAGTTCGTGGTCAACAGCACAAGCAATTTATGAAAGGGGGATGGCAAATTGGGAGGGATGGGGGTGCCTTTATACTCAGGCTGTGCTTGCATGAGAGTCTGGGAAAATTCCAAGGGTTGTGAAGTCATTATCAGTAAGTGTCAAAACACCCAACAGAAAAGCCCTGGTGATGGGGTAAATAAGGCCATTGTACTTTGGGATAGCTGCTCAATGGCCCAGAATGTTGCAAAAATCAATACCAACCTGCCTGCTTGTGCAAAATAATTTTATTACAGAAGCACAGCCTGTTTTTCCTAAAGTGGCAAAAGTTTTGAGTAGCCTGCTACATTACCAGGAGAGAAGTAGGCAAAACATTTTTTGTTTGCAAGCTTGATTACATCAGAATTCCAGTGGCTGCTAAGCTCAGGATGAAAGGATGGGAGGATGTGCAAAAGCCCCAATGCCCTGGGTGCCAGGGTGGAGGGTTGGAAAAGTACCTACACCAAGCTCCAAACCACACAACACCCTGTAGTCCTTGCCCCACGCTTGGTGCAGATGGGTGAGAAGCTGCTGCTGATGGAGAGGGGGAAAATGGAGAATGAATATGAAATACATGACATGGAGGACATGGAGCAGAAGGAGAACATGGAGCAGGAGGAGGAGGTGGCAGTACTGCTTCTGCAAATGCTGTTTACCTGGCAATTACTGCTGGGACATTTGAGAAGGATAGGAACTGTGCTACAGTGTTCAGCGGCAAGGTGGGTTTCTGCTTTAACAGCATTAATGACAATAATAAGATACAGGTATCCAGAGGACTTGGAATACATTGAGGAAAGTTAAGAAGTGGAATTTGACCGGGCTCTGTCGAGAAACCTGAGGTGGACCTGAAACTGCGTGGTGTGGGCCCATGAGAGCAACTCGGACTGGTGGGAGCAAATCATGCTGACCACCTGGAATGACCAGCAGTGGTTGGAGAAGTTCCAAATGAAAAGGAAGATGTTCTATTGTATCATCTTGATGCTGGGGCCCCACATCACAAGGAAAGACACTAACATGCATTGGGCCATCCCACCAGACAAGAGTGTGGAAGAAATCAAACTTCGCGTTGTGGTTGAATCAG